GAATAACCCTGTTAGAAGTGTTCTCCTTAAAAGGACACTATAGTCACCAGTACAACTGCAGCTTAATGCATTTGTTCTGGTGAGTAGAATCATTCCCTTCAGGCTTTTTGCAGTAAACACGGTCTTTTCAGAGCAAATGCAGTGTTTACATTACAGCCTAATGATAACTTCACTGGCCACTCCTCAGATGGCTGTTAGCAGGGCTGGACTGGGAAGAAAATTTGGCCCGGGCATTTTTTAATTACAGCGGCCCACTTAAAAGGGGGCGGGGACAGATAGGGTGTGTTTTGTCATCACCAATGACAAGCACGCCCAATGGAGTACATACCGGGGTCGCGACTGCGACCGGGCCCAACCCACCACGGGGCCTGGCCGCCCTGCGACCCAGTATGTACCCACTGTGGCCAGCCTCTTCTCCTGGGGGGCCCAGGAGTTGACGTCCTCAGGGCCCCCGAGGCTGGCCATGGTATCACCCGGCGGGCAGGCTGGCGGGCGCGCGAGGCAGCACTGTCCCCTGTGTGCTCCCTCTTCAGCTCCCTCGCACACTGCACTGCAACCAGAGCCGGAATATGACGCCATCTTCTGGCTCCTGCATCAGTACGCGGCGCGTGAGGGAGCTGAAGAGGGAGCACACAGGGGACAGTGCTCCCTCGCGCACCCGCCGGATGACCGGCCACCCAGGAACCCAGCAGCACCACTGGACCCCAGGGAATCCCCTCAGCACTCCAAAAGGTAAGAAGGCTCGGGGATTAAATAAAAAAAAAAAAACATTAGTGTGTTAGTGTGTGTGTGTTAGTGTGTGTTAGTGTGTGTCTGTTATTGAGTGTGTGTCTGCTAGTGAGTGTCAATGAGTGTGTTACTGTGTGTCTGTTACAGAGTGTGTTTGTGTGTGTCTGTTAGTGAGTCTGTTTGATGTCTGTTAGTGAGTGTGTGTTTGTCAGTGAGAGTGTATGTTTTGTAAGTGAGTGTATATGTATGTCTGTCGCTGAGTGTGTCTCTGTCAGTAAATGTGTGTGTCTGTTAGCTAGTGTGTATGCGTCTGTTCGTGAGAGTGTGTGTGTCTTCAGCACTTACCTTTCTCCAGCGCCGGACTCCCTTGGCGCTGGGGATCCCCCCGCCTCTCAGCTCCGAATGCGAATGCGCGTCAAGAGCCGCGCGTGCATTCAAACCGCCCATAGAAACACAAAACTCAATGCTTTCCTATGGACGTTTAGTGTCTTAGAATCGCGGAAGCTCCTCTAGCGGCTGTCAATGAGACAGCCACTAGAGGCTGGAATAACCCTCAGTGAAACATAGCAGTTTCTCTGAAACTGCTATGTTTTCAGCTGCAGGGTTAAAACTAGAGGGATCTGGCACCCAGACTACTTCATTGAGCTGATGTGATCTGGGTGTCTGTAGTGGTCCTTTAAGTGTGTGTGCATCTGCATGCACTGGCGTACATACCACAGTCGCAGTGGTCGCAGCCCTGCAACCCCTGCGACCCGGTGCCTGCCGCCATGTGTTGCGGCCCCGGCCCGTGCAGAGTAAGCGCGGGGGGCCACGGATCAATTTTTGCACCGGGGCCCCATGGGTCATGTGTACGCTACTGAGCACACCCCATCACAAAGTAAGCATGTTGGTTCAATGCTCTTCCAGGGTAGACCATGCGCAGAGCCTCGGCCCATGGCCACCACGGCCCACCGGGTATTTACAGTTATTTGTATATTGATAATTATAAGCACCAAGTACTTTCTCAGATTTTCCCCCTGCAATTCTGCTTTTATAGTGTACTTTTTAAACTCCCATGCTTGCTAATTTTTGTGGGAAAAACCCAAAACTTCAAAGATAGGTTCAGTATGCACTGTTCCACAATATGGACAAATACAATTGGATTTCTAGTTTACAAACATGTTTATGAAGTAAACCATGGCAGTAAACCGCTTAGAATACAAGCTATTGAAGAAGTACCTAGACCCAGAAGATGAAGAGGTAGATTGGGTTATTCACTAAACTCAATAATGTTCAATAATTAAATCCAAATTGCAAATTTGAGGCAAAAATAGCCAAAACAATATACACAAACTATAAGATGCGCCAATAAAAAGTTCAGTTAGTTCACAATTGCTGGAGTCTGTTGTCAACTGGTACCTGTCCAGACTTCAAATCACGGCCGGATTAACATAGGGACTGATAAAGCTGCAGCTCCAGGCCCATGCTCATGCAATAGGCCCATTAATTTGAAAAAAAAAAACACTACTCTTAGGGTTTTCATCTGGCTGGTATTTTACTGGCACAGCCAGTATTTGAGGCTGCCTGGCTAGTGCCCATATTGCAGTCATACTGGGAATACAAATGCTGTTTTTTTTCTCAGTATAAAAAGATTTTACAATGCAATACTAGCACTGGCCAGTAGGAGAGAGGCAGTTCCAGCATATCCCTCCCTGACTATCTCTACTCAGTAATCCGCAGGGGAGCAGCTACAGAGAGTCCAGACAACAACTCCCAGCCTGCAGAGACAGCCTACAGCTCAGGGAAGTGTGGGATGGGGGGAAAGGCTGCAAGGAGACATGGGGGCACTGGGAGATATGGGGACACTGAGACACTAAGGGACATTGGGAGACATTATGACACAGACACTTGGGGACACGGAGACACTTGGGGACATGGGGACACTGAGACACTAGGGACACAGTGTCCCCATGTCTACCAGCCAGTGTCCCTAGTGTCTCAGTGTTCCTGGTGTCCCCATGTGTCACAGCCAGTGTCCCCATGTCTCCCAGTGTCCCTGGAGTCTCAGTGTTCCCATGTCTCCCAGTCAGAGGCATAACTAGAAACCACGGGGCAAAAATTGCTCTGGGACCCCCCCATATGTCTACCCCCCACCCCATATGTGCCCACCACCATACATCTAACCCTCATCCCATACGTCCCCTCCCCCACACATGCAGACAAACAGATACATACACACACATACATACATACAGACACACATACATACACACACACACACACACATCTACACAGAAACCCATACATACACACACACAGACACGTACATACATACAGACACACACACAGAAATACATACAGACATACACACATACATTTATACATACATACAGACACACACATACATACAGAGACACACACATACATACAGGCATACATACAGACACACACACAGATATACTGATACAGACATTCTCTATCACACACACAAAAATTTACTTACCTGAGAAATTTTAGTGATGGTAGCTGGGAGGCTTGGGGCACAGTGGGTAGGTGTGGATGGCTTGAGGGGGCACAGTGTGGGTAGGTGGGGGGGCAACTTTGCAGTGGGTGGCTGGGGCACAGGTGGAAGCTAGGTGGGAGAGCAAGGGCACAGTGGGTAGCTGGGGGCATTTTAGTTAGGCAGAGCAGTTAAGGCTAGGAGGGGGGTGCAGGGGGGCTGAGTGGAATGGGTAGCTGGGGGGAGCAGAAGGGCACTGTTAGGCTAGGTGAGGGGAACAGTTAGGCTAGGAGGAGGGGTGGGGACTTTAGTGGGTAGCTGGGGGAGCAGGAACACGGATTAGGCTGGAGTGGGGGCAGGAGGCAGAAGTGGGTAGCTGGGGGAGCATGAGCTGGATTGGAGGCTGGGGGAGCAGGGGCACAGTTAGGCTAGGTGGGGAGCAGTTAGGCTAGGTGGGGAAGCAGGGTGCACAGCTGGGGGAGCAGGGGCACAGTTAGGCTAGGTGGGGGAGCAGGGGGCCCAATGGGTAGCTGAAGGAGCAGGGGCACAGTTAGGCTAGGTGGGGGAGCAGGGGCAGTGTGGTGGTAGGTGGGGGAGCTGGAAAAATTTTGTATATCATAGTAATTTTTTTTATCTATGTAAAATATATTTATTTTTAAAAATACTTTTTTTGCAATTACCTTTTAGATAGGTTGGGTCTAACCATTTGTTACCACCCATTCAGGGTTGGGTATGTACAGGTAATATGTAAACTAATTATCTCTAACCACCTGTTGTAGGTTGTGTTTGTTTGATTTTTATTTTTACCTATTTCCCCTTTTTGTAAACACCTTGAGGGTTGGTTAAACCTTGTATGATTCAGTTTTCAATCAAGAACTTTACTCTGGATACATTTAATAAAAACATTGTATGAAAGGTTACCAACTATCTGTGATGTGTGCGTGGCTAAAATGTATTAGCTCTTTTATCTTTGACATTTACTCTCCTCTTTTTTTAATTAATACTCAATAAAGGTTATATTTTCAATTGAACCCTATTTTCTTTGTTTTTCTAGGCTGCCTAGTGCTAATTCAACTCTGAGAACATCTGATATATTCAATTCATAACATTGCAAGTGAAAGGTGAGCTAGATACCTGTTGAATGGACTATACCTAGATGGAGAGCCACACCTTGAGCTTTATTAGTCTATAATGTGACTAAGGGAATATCTACAATGTGTTTACAAGTTGGCTTGGAGACAACTGTCCAGTGAAACCAAAGTCATCAGTCTAAATACAACCTTATATTATCAGAGAACTTTGGATACTAAAAACTGAACCCTAAATAGATTACAATTGGCAATAATGATGTCACGTTGATAATATGAAACCCGAAGTGCAGTACTATAAAATAAAGTCCAAGGCAAGCAAATCTGGCAGGGGCAAGTCAAATTTAAGGTCAGGTAGTCCAATGGACAAATATCCAGGCAGCAAAGATACAGAAATGGCAGGCCAGAGGTCCGGTAAATCAGAGGAAATGGCAGGTCCAGTAAATCAGAGGAAAAGGCAGGACAGAGGTCCGGTAAATCACGGAGATCAGAAATTACAAATGTAGTATTGCAGGGAAGTAGCACAAAACAACTGAGCATTGGGGCGGGGCCGGGCGGCCATGCTAGCAGGCTGCAATACACTATGGCTCCTGGGGAATCCAGCTAATTTTGGATAAATACCCGAAATGCCGAAAGTAAAAGGCACCCACGCGGCCTCACTAAAATGGCCGACAGCGGCGCAACAACTTCACTGGACAAAAAGGATGAACCCCCTGTGGTGCGCTGAAGCAGAGCTCGTGAACCACACAGCCCGAGCTGTGAACACTCCTGGAATACGACTGAAGACAGGCAAGAACCACAGCAGCCTGCATTTATTATACCTACCCACACTGCTGCAGCAATCCCTTGATGCAGGTTCAGTGCCTGCTCCAACTGAGCATGCCTTACCAGTGTTTCTTACAACCGAGGCCATAGACCAAAACTGGAAGAGTACTCAGAGAGGTCATACTCATGCACCAACCCCACTATACCGCAGCCAGCACCTGGACACTGTGGCTTGGAAAGCACCGCACTCATACCCACCCAACAACCAGGCAACCTGTCAACGGTGGTCTGTAGACACTGTGCCCTATGGCGAGACCTTGGGACTCAGTGGGCCTCTTGGGTGCCCTACAGGGTCTCTAACCATGCACGGGAATAGGCTGCCTTTTATTATCTTCAGCCCTGCCAGAGCCGGCGGCGACCCCAGCTTCTCACAACCTATAGCATTTAAGGCACACACTGCGGAATCTACCACCGACAGCCTCAACAGAGGTTACTCTAGCTGCATTTACTGTTAAATGTCCAGTATGTTACGATCTACCTGGTAGTACCCTACCTTAATACCCATCTTAGCTAAGCTTGTGACCATATAATTCAACAAAAATGTCAGTATGTAAATCTGTAGCTGTACCTCGTATGCTGTAACGTGTACCTGACCAGGGTTGCCATCAGGGCATGACAACCATAACGGTTGTCATGGGCCCGGTCCTGGGGGGGCCCGAGCCCTACATTCCTTATGTGCGCACATATATATATATATATATATATAGCGATTTTTGCTATATATATGTGCACAGAGGGCCCCCTGTTACCTGTACATTGAAGAGGGGGCCCAGCAGCACACTCTGTCCTCCTTTCCAGCTGCTCTCTGTCTAACTTTCCTGGGCCCTGCAGCCGCCAGAGCGTTGCCACGGGTTACCGCGAGAGTTAGTCAGAGAGGAGCTGGAAAGGAAGACAGTGTGTGCTGCTGGGCCCCCTCTTCAATGTACCGTGGCTGGCTCCCTCCACCATGCCACTGGACCACCAGGGAATGGGATCTCCCACCTCCCTGGCATGGTAAGAACCAGGGAGGGGGGAATAAAATTGAAATATACACAAATAAATAAAATAAATGTAAATTGGTTAATCAATGCTGGACGTAAACCACAAATGTGATATTCCAGCACTGAAGGACCAACTGTAGTACCATAGAGAGACTCCAGGGGCTTGACCCCAAGACATTCAAAAATTAGAAAAGACACACAGAATATTAGTCACCAGACGTTTTTATATTTTCTTCACTTATGGATATGTTTCACTAGGCATGTTATGGCACTGTTTTGTTTGATGTAGATACTATACTTTATTGAGCTACCTTAGAGCAGTTTGAGGTCTGCATTTAGGAAGTGAGGTACTACCTATTACTTAGACCGTTGGATTTACATTAAATATAGGTTGCTATCTGTCCTCTATATCTTTACCTAAATGACTGCTCTTTACTCTATAATCTATTCATAGATATGTCATTGAGCACTCTAAGCATCATGACATCAATGTTCTACTTTTGGTACTCCTTTTATTATTTTTTCTAAAATTATTTTCGACTATATGGTCGTGCCTAACTTGTAAATATACCTATAGCCCCTTGGAGATAATTACTTTATGTATATACATTATTTCTTATTATTTTATATAATTTTTTAGAGCTATTTCTCTAATCACCATATGGAGCATTTGACCATACTGTATAGTTGGATTTAACTTTAAATTAAGGGGTGCCTATACAATATCAGGCAAACATTTAAGTGGTAGTATCATCTATTCCCTGTTTGGGTCTGGATATATTAGATCCAGATAAATAGCAGTATAGAATCGTTAAGAGCCAGTCTGAATAAAGCACAGAATTTCTATCTATTGCTAAGGATATACTGGTAACATAACTATACCACCCAGGGATTACGATATATATTTGTATCTACTTGACTTTTTAATTCACATCCTGTATGGATACTTTCTTATTTTGTATCAAGTATATTTTATGATTTTCTCCTAGACTACTTGTATATGTCCAGGTTACACAGATAGCCACATTTCGCCTTATGGCATGGTGACTAATATTCTGTGTGTCTTTTCTAAATAAATTTAAAAAAAAATACTCCCCTCCCCCCTATTTTACACACACACTGCATCCTTACAAGCACACACTCTGCACTAAACACACACACTACATTTTACTAAACACACTCTGCACTACACACACACTTCATTCACTAAACACACTCTGCACTACACATACTCACACTACATTCACTAAACACACTCTGCACTACACATACTCACACTACATTCACTAAACACACTCTGCACTACACACACACACTACATTCTCTAAACACACTTTGCACTACACACACACTACATTCACTAAACACACTTTGCTCTACACACACACACTACATTCACTATACACACTTTGCTCTACACACACACTACATTTACTATACACACTTTGCACTACAAACACACACTACATTCACTAAACACACTCTGCACTACACATACTCATACTACAGTTACTAAACACACTCTGCACTACACATACACTACATTCACTAAACACACTCTGCACTCACTACAAACACTACATTCACTAAACACATTCTGCACTACACACACTACATTCACTAAACACACTTTGCTCTACACACACTACATTCACTATACACACTTTGTACTACACACACTATATTCACTATACACACTTTGAACTACACACACACTACATTCACTAAACACACTCTGCACTACACATACTCACACTACATTCACTATAAACTCTCTGCACTCACTACAAACACTACATCCACTAAACACACTCTGCACTACACACACACACACACACTACATTCACTAAACACACTGCACTACATTCACTAAAAACACTGCACTACACACACACACTACATTCACTATACACACGTTTCACTCACTACACACTACATTTACTAAACACACTCTGCACTACATACACACACACACACACACACACTGCATTCACTATACACACGTTGAACTCACTACAAACACATTACATTTACTAAACACACTTTGCACTCACTACAAACACACTACATGCTCTATACACACTACATTCACTATACACACTACATCCACTACAAAAACACACACTCTGCATTCACTATACACACCTACATTCACTACACACACACACTCTGCATCTAATGCATGCATACAAACATTACATACATTACACACAACGTACAATCTGCATCCACTATACACACTGCATCCATGACACACATACCGCATCCACTGCACACATTCTACATCCACCATACACACTGCATCCATGACACATATTCTACATCCACTATACACACACACACACACTTCATCCTTGTGGACGGACTCGGGGCTGGCCCCGGGGGCCCAGATCTTGAGCTCTGTCAGGGTCCCTAAAATTTCTGATGGCAGCCCTGTACCTGACACATAAGATTAACTCTCTACTAAACAACCCTACTGTCAGTTTGTAAAAGCAGTTTATTTTCACGCTTGCCAATGTCGATCTGCTGACATATATTCCAACACTCCCTTAAGTTATCCTGTTGTGATCTTGAACCACTAAATATCTCAAATGTGCAAGTTACACACTATAGTTTTTTTCCTTTTCACCACTGAATTTCCTGCTGTGGATCTAAAATTTGAGTGGGCAAAAGTTGAACTACAAAGGATGTTTCCAAAAATTGATAACCTTGCCTGTAGATTATAATTTGTCCCGTGGAAACAAAACCCTGGCTAGCAGGACAAAGCTCTCTCTAGACAAGCATTAAGAAAGCTAAAAACTTCCTCTTCTCCATCATTCTTCTCAGAGTATAAGCTGTTTTCAAAATAATTATGTTCTCCGCTCAGTGAATCCATAAAATAAATGCAGTTGTTTATTGAAAACAAATAACCTCCTCAAAACCACTATATGAGAGCCAAAACAGAAGTGACATGTGAAGAACGCTGATGGTATGAGTTATGTATTTATAATTTTCCACCTTGATATCTGTTTTGAAGTCCACCTCTTGACATCTTTAATGAAGACTAACTTTAAATTCTAAGGGTCACCAGAACAACTGCAACTTATTGTATTTGTTCTGGGGATTATAATCAGTCCCTTCAGGCTTTTGCAAAAAGCACTATTTATTTAGAGAAAATGCAGTGTTTACATTAGAGCCCAGGGATACCTCCACTGGCCACTCCTCAGATTGCTTCTATAGGTGCTTCCTGGGGTAGTGCTGCACAGTGTGCAGCACTGACATTCAGTGTCTCCATCCTCGGCATGGGGAACTTTCCTCATAGAGATGCATTGATTCAATGCATTTCAATGAGAAGATGCTGATTGGTCAGAGTTGTGTTTGTCTTGTGCTGACTCTGCCCCTGATCTGACTCCTTGACAGTCTCAGCCAATCCAACACTTTCCTCTGGGAAAACATTGTGATTGGCTCAGACAATCACTTCTGAGGATGTCAACCAAGCAGGCAGATCAGGGGCAGAGCTAGCACCAGCAGACTTGAATAAAAGTAAGATTTTACTATAATTAAGGGTGTAAGGGTTGGCCATGGGGGCTAGATGGTGGTTTTAACACTATAGGAATACATGTTTGTGTTCCTGACTCTTTAGTGTTACTTTAAGGCAAATCTTATAGTCAGCTAGCTAGTGCATTGAACATTTGTTTTGTTATTCTTTTTTTATAACATGCAAAGTATCCCTGATTTAGTTCCAAACAATTGTGAACATAGGAGATAAAAGGAGCTATCAAATACCTTGTTTTTTGTTTTATTTTATAGCAATACCACATTTAAACATATATCACTTCAATATTTTACATGTGCATTATTTGTACCGGTATATTAAATTAAGTAACGCTGCATATAAACCCATCCAAAAGTCATTCACTTTTCAATACATTCTTTGTGGTCTGGCAAGTGGCCTCAAGTCCTGTCACCAAAAACCTAGTAATGGAATTAAAGTTATTAAGGGGCAAACCTAGTTATTTAAGATAATGGCTGAGCTTCAGGCTTTGAAATGATCCTCTGAACCATAAACCAGCTTATGTTTGGTACCCCTTTCACTCTTAATATAGGGATGTTAATAAGGCCAAGCTTGGCCAACTATCTTCACAATCCTTTCTACCTAACCCATGGGCCCAGGCTCCTTATGGTTAAATCCAGCTATGGTCTGAAAATGATTAAGTTGGACACGTGTGGTTGGTTTTAAACTAAGAAATATGTCAATATGTTAATAATTTAAGAAGTGATGTAATATCATTCTAAATCTGTGTACATTTTTGACGGGACTCTCCATCCTTAGAGAGGGGTTCCATATATCGATGTAGACAATGGTAGGGAATGTAAACCCAGGTCATCCTCATCTTCACTGAGAATATTCAGACTGCTCTGTCCAGTAGCATAGCTGTACACTGTTTATACGCCTGAATGCTCCTGTCTCACTGCTTCTTGGTTTATTGGTGTCACAGCTAATGATGCTCATTATAGAAGGCTGAAACATTAGTGGCAAGCAATTTGATGTTCTGTGCTGATTGACGATGAACACAAGGGTGTCTCCATGACATCAGTGTATCAGTGATCCCAGCGGAGATACGTTACTATACCCACCCAGTTTGCTTACTGTTTGTCTATTGTTTAACATCAAGCAGCACGTCTTCCTTGACATTTTGGTGATTTTTTTTTTGTAAATATCTTTTTATTAAACCTTTTCGTTTTTGTCAATTTTGCAACATGTCAAAGAGAAACATGGACTCGCAGGTCCCTCTGGTCATTCACAGAAGCTTATACATCGGAAGGCATGTGATGACATAAGTGTCTGGGCGACTCGCAGGTCGCTTTCTTGAGTAAATAGCATGTGTATTGTGGACTCGCAGGTCCGGTGTTACATGGTGGTGCTTAGTACTCTGTTATATTTGATATATACCATTTCTACGTTGGGTGGTTTTGCATGCCCCACCGTGGTTTTGTTTGTCTATTCCCCATGCCTACCCAGTCGCCTCTAGGCAGTAGTGAGACATGTGGCCATGTGGTGTGCAGCCCCCCAGTGACCTTGTGTCCAGGGGACATTTTGGTGATTTTTAATACATTTACATACATATGAGTTATTTTTTTATTTTTCAAATATATTAAAGGGTTATAATGCTAAAATGGTGGAGCAGTTCAATAAGCGGAGACATGTGTAAAACATTTTTTGTATACAGAGATTAGTACAAATTATAGTATCAAAAAAAAAAAAAAAGTACACTTTTTGTTGAAGTAGGTCTTGGCAATTGAGGAGAAGAGAAAAAAAAAAAAGGAGCCGAATAGAAGAACAAGGGGATGCAGTAAAGTAAAATTTGTATTGCCTTTTTAATCAATTTAGGGATTCTAAATAATAACTTTAACACTGACACATAAAATTAAGCCCTGAATTCAAACTCCCACTACCCTTAGGGTAGCAGCAATAGCGGTATTATTTATCAGCCCAAATACACAAAACAAAAGTTACCTGTGCATTATCCGAAACTATTCCTGTTAAGATACACTACGGTCCAATAATACCTCTTTCTATCTCTCTTTCTTTTTCTGCATTTAAGTACCGGTATCTGTTTTACTAGAGCTCCTGGAGAGTATTCAAATATTCCTACAGAAACACTTATTACTCTCAGCCGCATATTATATATCTCTGGATTTTCATTGTGCATAAAGAGGGCAAGACCTTCTGATTTTCAATTTCCATGCCAAACTGTCATAAAATTAGTTCAAATTGCAGGAGATACTTGTGTTAACCAAATCTCCACACTACAACAGAATAGAATGGGTTAAGGTGATCATTGCTATGATTATGTGTTATTATCAGCACATGTTCTAAATTAAAGGCTTGTGTAATGTTAGCAGCCCGACCAATCAGAAGCAGCCAACATGATGTCATTATTTGTTCATATGAACTGTCTTGTCTGTGCGGTGGGGAGAGAGAGAGATGAAATCCAGAATTCATGTTGTTGTAGAGGCACACCAAGCAGGATATCATGGGTGGGAATTCCTGTTATGAGAAAGGCAATGACTCTAGGACATCTAACAATATTAATACATAAACAGACTTACATTAGCGAATTTCAGCTCTGAAAAAAAGCAAAAGCCTATAATTAAATTTATCAAAAATATATACATTTTAGAGACAGAAATGTTGACATTTCCTTATATATTCTGCACAAATAAAGAAAAGTTGGTTGATTGAATCCAACCCTCCGGAGTGCACTCTGTTTGGAATTTATCTATATTTTATATTTTTAAATTTTTTTTAACAATCATCCTGGCATATTCTGACAGTCTAAATAAATTATGAATTTCCAGCCTTTGCTGTAGGAAACACATAAAGCATTTAGCAATTTATGTTTGAGTTATGGCCGAAATGCTCTAGTGCACATATGGGGTAATGCAAAAAATAAATAAAATACTTCTACAGAAACTTTAGGTTAGAAAAGCCCTGGAGGGATATGTTCCTTAACTGCCAGCTGTGAAACCATGTACGATTTTACTAATAAGCGTAGCTGCAAAAAAATAATAAAATTTGCTAAGTTACACTTTGATCCATATTGATTTAATGCTGAAGTGGCAAATTAATTGTTTTCTTCGGGTCACTAAATTCTGTGAAATTATTGTAATTTGCTTGCAACACATGGTTTAGTTTGTAAATGATGCCTGTCAGTTGCGTAGACAGTTTCAATATTCTTTGAGGATCCAGCAGCTTAGTGGCCATGTAGCCATCAAACTTGTGGTGGGTGATTGCTTTTAGAGTTCAGGGAGTTTTAATGCAGATGTCATTGCCTGTCTCAAACGCTTTCTCATTGGATACACCATTTATTTCTGTGGCAAGCCTATGTCAGGAGGACATAATATGTAAGTACATGTAAGTTAAATTTTTCCTTTATTTTTGCCCTTAAAGGATCACTATAGGGTCAGGAACACAAACATGTATTTCTGACCCTATGGTGTTAAAACCACCAGCTAACCCCCCCGTCCTCTCCCCCATTGGCCTCGATAAATACATAGTAAAATTGTACTTGTATTTAAGTCTGCAGCTGCTGCCTCTGCCCTTGATCTGCCTGCTGACATTATCAGAAGTGGTGGACTGAGCCAATCACAATGCCTCCCCATAGAATTGGCTGAGACTGTTAAGGAGGCAAATCAGGGGCAGTGCCAGCAAAAGTCAAACACAGCCCTGGCCAATCAGCATCTCCTCTTAGAGATGAATTGAATCAATGCATCTCTATGAGGAAAGTTCAGTGTCTCCATGCAGAGGGTGGAGACACTGAATGTTGTGATGCACACTAGGCAGCACTGCCCCAGGAAGGATCTCTAATAGCTAGGCCCAGACTGGCCATTGGGTACACCGGCAAATGCCCGGTGGGCCGCGGTGGCCATGGGCCAAAGCCGGCAGGGAAATCACAGTAATGTAAAAACTGCATTTTATCTGAAAAGACAGTGTTTACTGCAAAGAGCTTGAATGTAATGATTCTATTCACCAGAACAAATACAATAAGCTGTAGTTGTTCTGTTGACTATAGTGTCCCTTTAAAGGGAACCCTCCAGACTCCTAAAACACTTTAGCTTGCTGAAAAGCTTTATATGTGAAGAGTGTGTCCTCTGGTTTTTTTTATTTTGCAAAAAGTGCTGGTTTCAGTAGAAATTTACACTTTTATGAATTAACCTGGTTACACCCCCTGGCTTTCAAGCAGACAACAGGTCCTGTTACTTCCTGGTTTGTTTAGCCTAGTAAAGCTAAACTCAAGAGACAACAATTGCTCAGAGCACCTGCCCTGCAAAGACTGCTCATTGAGCTGCATTGGGATGTTTGTCATCTCAAAATAGCCTTGCCCCTGGCCACACTTTCACTTACACCTATAAACTTAAAGTGTCTCTCTGTGTCCATTTGAAATATTGGAAGGTATGTCAGCATGATGTGATGCTGAGAAATGGCAGTACTTTTACTCATGCAAAGTCAGTATAGATCAGCTGCATTCCTTTGTTTGGAAGATTGAACTAACTAGAATATACAATAATTCTTGTTCTAAAGTTTTTTTTTTTTGTTCATTTACATTTTTATTGAGTTTCTTAAAAATATAATAAATATTTTATATATATATATATATATATATATATATATATATATATATCTTTGTCTGCAGGTAGCACGGTCCTCTAGGGCAAAAACATGCACAGTCTTTCAATGCAACTTCATTCCAGGCACTTTATTTGTAAGTTTACATATGAGGCAGCAGCAAATGAAAACATAAATATAACAGGTTTCCCTTTAAACAAAAACCTAGCTCGTCTGAGCACTGACTCACTTTGTATATCCCTCTCTATCAGGGTTAAACTAACAAAAACATATTGCACCAACCTTATTAGATAGCAACACTCTGCTAGCTAGCCTGTTGCTTTCCTTTCTGCACTCCCAGTGCTCCAAGCCAGCCTTGCCCTGACTACTTTCCTTTCTGCACTCCCAGTGCTCCAAGCCAGCCTTGACTGCTTCCTCATACACTCCCAGTGCTCCAAGCCAGCCTTGCCCTGACTGCTTTCCTTTCTGCACTCCTAGTGCTCCAAGCCAGCCTTGACTGCTTCCTCCTGCACTCCCAGTGCTCCAAGCCAGCCTTGACTGCTTCCTTTCTGCACTCCCAGTGCCTAGTCTCCTTGACTCTCTATCTGGAGAGAACAGCCTCTCTCCTACCTGCTTCCTGGGAGGAAGCCAGCAATCCCTCTCCTTTTCCTGCCTAGCCGGGAGGGGTTTATTCCCACTGCAACAGCTCATTAACTGCAGCTGAGCAGTGGGTTGGAGACGGTCCAAAAAACCCTGGCTTGGATCTATGTCTCCCCAGAAAACCACTAAACTGTGGAGTGGAGCATTGGCCCACCCTTCTCTCCAAATGCTCCACCCCAGGGGCCCATAACTAAACAATGCTTTGTGTTGTGCAACACACAAACTACACGTACTTCCCCTGGGGTTAAAAGGCCTATCTGCCTTCACTTTATCACAATATATATATAAATGTGTATGTGTGTGTGTATGTGTATATATATATATATATATATATATATATATATATATATATGTATATATATATAGAGAGAGAGAGAGAGAATATTTGTTATTATTTTGTAGAAACTCAGTATATATATATATATATATATATATATATACACCCCTCACATTTTTGTAAATATTTTATTATATCTTTTCATGTGACAACACTGAAGAAATGACACTCTGCTACAATGTAAAGTAGTAAGTGTACAGCCTGCATAACAGTGTAAATTTGCTGTCCCCTCAAAATAACTCATCACACAGCCATTAAAGGAGCACTATATGGTCAGGAACACAAACATGTATTCCTGACCCTATAGGGTTAAACCACCATCTAGCCACCCTGGTCCCCTCATGCCTCTCTAGATATAGTAAATCTTACTTGTATTCAAGCCTGAAGCTGCTGGCTTTGTCACTGTTTCCTTTAGACCTGCCAACTGTCTGCTGACATCAGCAGAAGTAGTAGTCTGATCCAATCACAGTGCCTCCCTGTAGAATTGGCTGAGACTGACAAAGAGGCAGATCGGGGGCAGAGCCAGCACAATTCAAACACAGCCCTAGCCAATCAGCATCTTCTCATAGAGATGAATTGAATCAATGAATCTCTATGAGGAAAATTCAGTGTCTGCATGCAAAGGGAGGAGATACTGAATGTTTGGAAGCATTTTAGGCAGCTATGACCCAGGAAGGATCTCTAACAGCTATCTGAGGAGCGGCCAGTGAAGTTATTACTAGGCTGTAATGTAAACACTGCATTTTCTCTGAAAAGACAGTGTTTACTGCAAAAAGCCTGAAGGGAATGATTCTACTCACCAGAACAAATTCAATAAGCTGTAGTTGTTCTGGTGACTATAGTATCCCTTTAATGTCTAAACCGTTGGCAACAAAAGTGAGTACACCCCTAAGTGGAAATGTCCAAATTGGGCCCAATTAGCCATTTTCCCTCCATGGTGTCATGTGACTCGTTAGTTTTACAAGGTCTCAGGTGTTAAATTTGGTGTTATCGCTCTCACACTCTCTCATACTGGTCACTGGAAGTTCAACATGGCACCTAATGTAAATGAACTCTCTGAGGACCTGAATAAAATAATTGTTGCTCTACATAAAGATGGCCTAGGCTATAAGAAGATTGCTAAGACCCAGAAACTGAGATGCAGCATGGTGGGCAAGACCATACAACGGTTTCACAGGACAGGTTCCACTCAGAACAGGCCTCGCCATGGTCGACCAAAGAAGTTGAGTGCACGTGCTCAGCATCATATCCAGAGGTTGTCTTTGGGAAATATACATATGAGTGCTGCCAGCATTGCTGCAGAGGTTGAAGGAGTGGTGGGTCAGCCTGTAAGTGCTCAGACCATACGCCACACACTGCATCAAATTGGTCTGTATGGCTTCTTCTAAAGATGATGCACAAGAAAGCCCGCAAACAGTTTGCTGAAGACAAGCAGACTAAGGACATGGATTACTGGAACCATGTGCTGTGGTTGGATGAGACCAAGATAAACTTATTTGGTTCAGATCGTGTTAAGCGTGTGTGGTGGCAACCAGGTGAGGAGTACAAAGACAAGTGTGTCTTGCCTACAGTCAAGCATGGTGGTGGGAGTGTCATGGTCTGGGCCTGCATGAGTGCTGTCGACACTGGGGAGCTACAGTTCATTGAGGGAGCCATGAATGCCAACATGTACTGTGACATACTGAAGCAGAGCATGATCCCCTCCCTTCGGAGACTGGGCCGCAGGGCAGTATTCCATCATGATAATGACCCGAAACATACCTCCAAGACGACCGATGCCTTGCTAAAGAAGCTGAAGGTAAAGGTGATGGGCTGGCCAAGCATGTCTCCAGACCTAAACCCTATTGAGCATCTGTGGGACATCCTCAAACGGAAGATGGGGGAGCGCAAGGTCTCTAATATCCACCAGCTCCATGATGTTATCATGGGGAAGTGGAAGAGGACTCCAGTGACAACCTGTGAAGCTCTGGTAAACTTCATGCTCATGAGTGTTAAGGCAGTGCTGGAAAATTATGGTGGCCACACAAAATATTGACACTTTGGGCCTAATTTGGACATTTCCACTTAGGGGTGTACTCACTTTTGTTGCCAACAGTTTAGACATTAATGGCTGTGTGTTGCGTTATATTCAGGGGACAGCAAATTTACACAGGCTGTACACTTACTACTAACGATTTATGCAAGTAAAATGTAATTTAGAAGAGCAAGATAACTAAAATGTACTATCTTATTTCAAAACTGTTTTCTAAACCCATTTATTATTAGTTTAAAGACAAGTTATTGTAAGAATTATTGTTGTGGAGCTCTGTTATTCACTCAGGAACACCAAAAATAATCAGCACTTACAAAAGGGGGCATTCGGAGAGAAAAGAAGGATTTGGGCCCTATATAGAACCTGTACATCCTAAATAAGAATACTTGGGATGTATGTGCTAGATTGGCCTGTCTTTCTATCAAAGATAATGAAGATGCCAGGATTGGTCAATCTTCATCCCAGCAAGAAAATGCAGTCAACAAATGAATATTCCAAGCATTTGCCCCCAGAGAGGTATTTCTCTGAAGAAACATTGGAGTAATTCCATGAATGGGTTGTAACCCCTAATCTGGACATAGATGATTTAACCCCTTAAGGACCAAACTTCTGGAATAAAAGGGAATCATGACATGTCATGTGTCCTTAAGGGGTTAAATGATCACTATAGGGTCAGGAACACTAATGTTTATTCCTGACCCTATAGTGTTTAAAACACTATTTAGGCCCCTGCAAACCCTACAAATAGTAAAAACTCACTGCCTTTTCTCTGAAAAGACAATGTTTTATGCAAAAAGCAGTACTCAACACAGTAGCATGCAGGTCTAAGCAGAGTACTAAGTGACAAGGACAGCAATAGCGTGCTCCACCAGTTAATTCTCTTACCCTCTGTCACTATGCTACTTCTCCAGCAAGAGTTTCTCATACTTGCATGGGGAGTATCGGAAGTGAAGTCCTCATGTTGGCATCATAAGAGAAGATTCTAATACTTAGGGAAGTGTCGCCAAGTAGGTCAAATCACAGCAGTGAGGAGACAGCAGACGAGGAAGGTTGTTACAATAATGTAACACCCATGAACCTCTGAGATGTGGAGACAGGCAACAGATAAGTAGAACTATTATACTTATTATTATCACTAGGATACATTATTTATTTACTACCTTGGGAGGAGATGATATATGTAAAAAGAAACATGTCATGACAAGTTTACCTTAAAATGATTTACTTTTAGTTATCAAAACGATGTAGGGCATTTTTGAGATTAAACTAAAAAAATAAAAAATAAAGAATACTTTGTTTGTATGTTGAAATGTGTCCATAATAATGAGAAATGTGACAGATAAACACAAGAGGAACTCTTGTTTCCTCATGTCTGTTCACAATTTCCAATCATAATGTGCTGTGACTCATTAACCATGAATGTGAACCTGAATCACACACAATTTAACTCTCTCTCAGGGGAGAGTGATATGAAGTGAGATATTCTGTAGTTACCTTTTGTACCCAAGGGAGCCATGAATCAAGTTATAGTTCTGAAGGTTACTACATTGCATGGATCAGTGATTATTTATTGGTAAAACCATGTTATATCGTCTGCTGCCTTGTGATCATTCACGGTCCCCAGAGATGTCTTACTGATCCTGCATCAGTCTGTGTTCTTACTATCTACCAACCCTTTAATGATATAATAACCATGGAGCTATTAATCCTTCTTTCAAGGAGTTAGCGCATCTTAGAGAGATCTGAGCTTTCAATGGTAAAGATCTGTTTTTTTCAAAGCTCCAATGGTGTGGTTCTACAGTCAAAGTAACCAGTGGGGTATGTCGCTATACTTAGCACAGTGCAACCAGGTACGCCGACCTTTTCTGCTGACCCAGGGAAGTAAAATATAAGCCTGTTGCTTTCTGGGGACTTGAGCAGGAATGTATATGTGCCAGGATAGGCATCTACCTCTAGATAACTGTCTGACGGGAGTGCCTAGTCTATCACTACAAATGTGCTGTTAGGAAAATGGTGAAGGGGGTTATATTTCCCCATGTATTGTCCAGTATACAAAAACTTGTCAGGTACCAGGGAAAGGCCCCTAAAAATAGAAAATTTAAAGTATATGTCATGTTTTATCTTATATATATTTCTTTAAGGAATTCATTACTTTTAAGTGTATACCTTTAAGAGCGCTGTGAGATGTGTCTGTATGCTAAACAGCCTGCGGTAACCATATCCTCCCCTACAGGAACCTCAGTTATGGGCCCCAAAGTGCCCAATTCCACTTAAAATCCCCATTTCCTCAGACTATGTAACTTGAATAGAGCTCAGACCGGACTTGTGTTTATTAAGTTTTCTCCTTGCTTACTGTCTTCAGGTTGCTGAATCTTGGATATAGCCTTTCTGTTTTCCCTCATCAGGGATGCCAGAATTCAGAATAGTCAGGGAAAGCTTTATCAAAAACCAGAATAAACAAGAGAGAAATATAAATGCGCTATTGTGACACTAAGGAACCACAATAGGGCACTGTGCAGTTGACAAATCACACCATTATAGGCTAGGGGTGTTATTGTGGTAACCACAGCCCAAATACACAAGATGATGGTGGAAATTACGCATATTGGCAACAGTGACACCTTGACTCCAGAGCATGTGCATTGTGTCATTAAAAGAGGCATAGGCACAGTGGTTGGCATCAGAGAGGCAAAAGGAGTGAGCATGAACTGGGAAAATGGTGGTCTGCCAGATTGGGGCAACATTTTTAATGACACAAGGTAAGTGCCGGCATGCCCACAAAAGGTAACTCTTGGGAATGCAACCTACTTGTCGTTAAAGGGATACTTACCCTCTATGAATCATTTGCCATTGGAAAGAATATATTCCTGTGCCTTACAACAAAAAAATCAACATCACTTTCTTCCAGAGTAAGCAGCCTCAATTTTTTAAAAGTCATCTTGACAGTAATAAGAACAGTATATGTGGAAAGGTGGTCAAGGAAATGTCAGTGTTATACAAGGTTACATATTTCTGAATTTAATCAGAATATGTATGTATTTAGTTACTCAGCAGAAGGTCGACACAATGGCGGATCCAGAGCCTGATCTCGGGAGGGGCACTTGTAGATTATTTAAAGAAATAATTCAGGCACAATAATGACTGCTCGGTGTAGTAGTTATGGTGCCAGTAGTGCCAGAATCCCAACCCAGAGTAAGTAGTCAAAGAGTTTAAGAACAGTTTGACAACTTACATGGGGTGTGCTGGGATATAGGGCATAGGAGCAGTGGTATGTGTTAGGGGTGAAGTGTGTGTGCGGTGAAGTGTGTGCGTGAGGGCGGCAGTGTATGTCAGGGTTGCAGTGTGTGTTAGAGGGCAGTGTATGTGTGGGGCAGTGTGAGTGTGTGAGCGGTGCAGTATGTATGTGAGGGGGGCAGTGTGTGTGAGAGTTGCAGTGTGTGTGTGAGGCTTGCAGTGTATGTGTGAGGCTTGAAGTGTATGTGTGTTTGGGGCAGTGTGTTTATGGGGGGCACTGTATTTGTGTGTGGGGCAGTGTGTGTGGGGCAGTGTGTGTATGGGGGCACTGTATATGTGTGTGGGGCAGTGTGTGTATGGGGGGGTCGTGTGCATGTGGGGCAATGTGTGTATGGGGTCAGCAGTGTGTGTAGGGGACTGTATGTGTCTGTGTGGCAATGTGTATGGGGGGGCACTGTATGTGTGTGTGTGTGGGGCAGTGTGTGTGTTTGGGACAGTGTGTGTATGGGGGCACTATACATGTGTGTGTGGGGGGGCACTGTATATGTGTGTGGAGGGGCAATGTGTGTATGTGTGGCAATGTGTGTATGGGTGGCAGTGTGTATGGGGAACACTATATGTGTGTGTGGGGCAGTGTGTGTATGGGGGGCACTGTATGTATGTGTGGGGTAGTGTGTGTATGAGGGGTCGTGTGCATGTGGGGCAATGTGTGTATGAGGGGCAGCAGTATGTGTAGGGCACTGTATGTGTCTGTGGGGTAATGTGTGTATGGGGCAGCAGTGTGTGTAGGGCACTGTATGTGTTTGTTGGGCAATGTGTGTATGGGTGTGCAGTTAATGTGTGTGGGGAGCAATGTGTGTATGGGTGTGCAGTTTGTGTGTGGGGAAATGTGTCTATGGGTGTGCAGTGGGGTAGTGTGTGTATGGGTATGGGGGGAAGTGTTTGTGGGGTAGTGTGTGTATGGGGGGAAGGAGAGTAGGGAGGCTTTTTAATAATTTTTAAAACATTTTTATTTAATAAAATAAATAAATGTATGTCCCCCCTCCCTTCTTACCTTTACTGGGAGGAGGGGGGACATTTCTGGATCCCTGGTGGTCTGGTGGGGAATCCCTGGTGGTTCCAGTCGTTAGAGTGAACTCTAGCCTGCGCTCCAGGGCTAGAGTTCACTCTCGTGCGATTTGGAGCACTGCGCGGCAACGCTCCGTGCTCGTGAGAGTAGAACCCGGAGGAGCTGCTCCCTCTCCCTCCCCTGCTAGCTGTCAGCACAGTGCCTGATCTCCCCTCCGGTCCGTGAAGGCACATTGCAGGGCTAGCATTTGGACAGTGCCAGCCCTGCATTAGCCGGCAGGGGAGAATCTCGGGGGTGGCAATTGCCCCATTGCCCCCCCCCCCTGGATCCGCCATTGGGTCGACAGAAGGTCTGCATACATGGACAAGTCAATAGAGAGGAGCAAAAAAAAAAAAAAAACATGTAGAAAACACTCAAGCAAGACAAATCAATGCAGCTTGTTGTACAGGATGGTTCCTACAGAAGAATACTATAAAAGGGACTGGAGGCAAGCCTGGTGCAAGGATTTTTGGCTATACAGACAAATATGCATTTTGCTGCCCCCACCTTAAAAAAAATGTGTCTTCACCTGTGTATCTTGTAAGCCCCCTTTTGATTTTCTTACGCTCTTCAGTGTATTTTATCCCCCCTTTACTATGTCTTACACCCTCTTGTGTGTCTCTTATAACCCCCCTTGTGTATCTTTCTTCCCCCCAACATTTTTCTGTGGCTCTCTCCCCTCAGTGCCTCTTGTGTCTTTTTCCATGCAATATAGACATAGATACAGTTACAAGAAAAAGTATGTGAACCCTTTGGAATGATATGGATTTCTGCACAAATTGGTCATAAAATGTGATCTGATCATCATCTAAGTCACAACAATAGACAATCACAGTCTGCTTAAACTAATAACACAGAAAGAATGAAATGTTGCCATGTTTTTATTGAACACACCATGTAAACATTCACAGTGCAGGTGGAAAAAGTATGTGAACCTTTGGATTTAATAACTGGTTGAACCTCCTTTGGCAGCAATAACTTCAACCAAACGCTTCCTGTAGTTGCAGATCAGACGTGCACAACGGTCAGGAGTAATTCTTGACCATTCCTCTTTACAGAACTGTTTCAGTTCAGCAATATTCTTGGGATGTCTGGTGTGAATCGCTTTCTTGAGGTCATACCACAGCATCTCAATCGGGTTGAGGTCAGGACTCTGACTGGGCCACTTCAGAAGGCGTATTTTCTTCTGTTTAAGCCATTCTGTTGTTGATTTACTTCTATGCTTTGGGTCATTGTTCTGTTGCAACACCCATCTTCTGCTGAGCTTCAGCTGGTAAACAGATGGCCTTAAGTTCTCCTGCAAAAATGTCTTGATATACTTGGGAATTCATTTTTCCTTCGATGATAGCAATCCATCCAGGCCCTGACGCAGCAAAGCAGCCCCAAACCATGATGCCCCCACCACCATACTTCACAGTTGGGATGAGGTTTTGAAGTTGGTGTGCTGTGCCTTTTTTTGCCACACATAGTGTTGTGTGTTTCTTCCAAACAACTCAACTTTGGTTTCATCTGTCCACAGAATATTTTGCCAGTACTGCTGTGGAACATCCAGGTGCTCTTGTGAAAACTGTAAACGTGCAGCAATGTTTTGTTTGGACAGCAGTGGCTTCCTCTGTGGTATCCTCCCATGAAATCCATTCTTGTTTAGTGTTTTACGTATTGTAGATTCGCTAACAGGGATGTAAGCATTTGCCAGTGACTTTTGTAAGTCTTTAGCTGACACTCTAGGATTCTTCTTCACCTCATTGAGCAGTCTGCGCTGTGCTC